CACATGTGGCCTTCCGAGGACATTTATCCAGCCAGCCGGGTGTTTTTGCCCGTCTTTTTTTACTTCAAAATAAGATATGTGCAGTGTGCATAGGAATTTGTTTGTTTGTTTGTTTGTTTTAGCTATAGTCCGGCTCTCCAACAGGTCTGAGGGACAGTGAACTGGCCCCGTTTAAAAAGTTTGAGGACCCCTGCTTTAGAGTATTGAAGAGCAAGAATGTTACTTTGAGGGCTAAGGTGCACCTGACCCAAGTCATGGTATTCTCCATTGCCTCATATGCATGTGAAAATTAGACATTGACTAAGGAAGGCCAAAAAAGAATTGATGCACTTTAATTTTGGTGCTAGAGAACAATATTGAAAGTATCATGGACTGCTGAAAGGGCAAACCAATCTATGTTGGAATATGTTAAGGCCAGAGTGCTCCTTAGAGGTATGGCTATCAAGACTTTGTCTTACATACATTGGATGTATTGTCAGGAGAGACTAGTCCCTGGAGAAGGACATGATGTTTGGTAAAGTAGAAGGGGAACGAAAAAGAGGAAGGCTCTCAAGGAGATGGACTGACACAGTGGCTTCATCAATGGGAGCAGGCATAGGAATAATTGTAAGGATGGCACAAGACCGTGCAGTGATTCAGTCTGTTATGCACAGGGTCACGACGGGTCGGGAAGATGTGATGGCACCTGACAACAGCAATATTAAGAACACACAGATGGAATAATGAGTATCAGGGAGGTCGTTTGGAATGTAAAAAGGGCAACAGAATGAACCTTAGATAGTGCTGAATTTGTTGAGTATACTGTCATGGAGGGAGACACAAACTATTCATGTGAATGAGCTGTCAAGAACTAACGCCCTGCAAATGAGCACAAGTAAATCTTGGGAAATCAAAATACTGCTGACATCTGATTATAAAAGTATACACTTTTGTACAATGCTATCAATTGGAGAACCTGGGCAAAATCTGTTATCTTATTTTTTACAACTACATATGTATCTAAAATTATCTCAAAAAATGCAATAAAAAAATAAAGTCACAGAATTTTTTAAAAAGTCAATTACAAATGATTATTCACTGCCCAACTCAAAAGATTACTGCCATAAAAGTAATGCTGACACATAGCAACTCCATAAGACAGAGTAGAACCGCCACTGTAGTTTTCTCACACTGTGACTCTTTATGGGACAAGAAAGCCTCATTTTTCTTGAAGTGACTGGTGGCTTAGAACTGTTAACCTTGCAGTTAGCAGGCCAATGTGCAATATACCACATCACTAGTCTACTGGAAAATCCCCCTCACTCATCAGAATTCTAGATTCAGATGCAAGCAGTTAAGTAATGTTTAAAGAAACACGTAAGAATTAAAGAAAACACCTACAGAAGTAAAGGGACATCATTTACTTTAATTCACCTTTCAAATTGTTCAGAACGGATTTTAAGTACGTTTTTCAAGATCTTTTTGAAACAGTACAGAAACTAAATTTTTAAGACTAAGCCAACTGAAAGCGTTAATTTCATAAAACAGTTTACATTCAAATCTAAATGGCATTCGTGATAGAAAACAAAGTACATTAGAATCCTATCATGATGTATCCAAGTTGATCCTTTGCACTGCTTAAGAATTTTAAAAAATATATTAAAATTGTATCTATATAGACTTTGCTAAAAATATAAAAGGACTTACCTGGTTTCCTTCTAGCGTTTCCATAATTAAAATATAATTTTCCCAAAACTTTAGAAGCTCATCCTTTTTCTTCTCATGCCACCAAAATAAATGTGGATCTGACGTGATTAAAAAATAAAATTACTTTTGAAAATTTCATAATTTTTTATTGAACACCATTTCTAAAACAATGGCATTATTACGAGTTCTATGCTCTCCAACAATGAAGAGGATGCCTCTATACCACTGTCAGGTAAGTGCTGGGCTACTAGCAGCAAGGTCAGTGATTCAAAGCCACCAGCTAGCTTCACGGGGGAAAATTAACACTGATTGTGCCCATAAAAATTTACTTCAGACACCCCAAATAGAGTAAATATGAATGAGAATCAACTCAATGGTGGTGGGTGGTTTGTTGAATACACTAGATTTCAACTCTAAAAGATAGCTTGGGCTAACAAATATTTCAAAAGGGAAAAAAATGTTTTTAAATTAAGATTGTTATTTTGAAGTTCTGGATAAGTGGGGGGGGGGGCAGAATAGGGGCTTCTGCCTTGCCTGCTAAGGGAATGAACACAGGACCCTATGCAACGAGTTATGAACAAAAGACTCCGTGAGAACTGGCTTGGCAAATACCTTAACCTTGAAGCTGGGCCCCAGTGAAAATCCTGATGCGGGACAGTAGTAACTCTAGAGAATTCTGAAACATTCTGAGATATGTTGACCCAGAGCAGCAGCCCAGTGAAAACTGAAAGAAATGATGCATGAGACCCAAGGGTGGACTGAATAACTAATTGGAAAGTTCCTTAACCTATGCAGAGCGCCAACCCTCCCCTAATTTGACAGTACCATATAAAAACTAAAAGTATTCCCCTAGACAACATCCCTCCTCAATTCAAAAGGGGAGACCCACCTTCATTTCATTGAAGTGATTATGCTTTAACAAGACTGTGGCTTTGCTGCTGTGTGAGCTCAGCCTATTTCTGGACACTAACAAACCACATGGTTTTGGAGCTGGATAGTTCAGTTCCATGGGTTCAGTGCCCTGCTTATATTAACTATTTTCTCTCCCTCAGAACCTCACTATTGCAGTGAGGCAAGAGTCCAGACAATAAAGAAAACGGAGTGGAAAGCAGCAATGAAATTTAGAATCAGAAAACCATTTTCAAAAAAAGGCAGATTCAGGGAAACAATATCAAGTTGGCATAAAGGAAAGCCAACAAATGGGCAGTTTAAATGGTTTTAAACAGAGTGCTTTATTTTGCCAGCTTAGAAGCCTGAGAACCACCCCATGGCATACCACAATCACTCAATGAGCTCTTGTCCACAGGGATCCCTCGTGATAAAGAATGAGGCCAGGCAGGAGACTTGATAGGGCAGGCCTACAGGGCCAGACTTGAAACTAAGTAAAGGATATGCCCTACTCCAGGTGTATGCAATGATCAGCTGCCACTGGGCAACACTAAGGAGACATAAGTTACCATTAAGACTGTTTTCAAAGAAGGTCAAGGCTTAATCCTTGTAAAGGGGGTGGAGGTGAAGGGGCAGGAAACACTCTTGCACTCTCGTCTTTGTCCCTCCTCTAATATCAGGCAAAAATTCTGCACTTCTAAAAAGGGCAGAAAATCGTTTCACCTCTGTTTCATTCCTGTTCCTACTCTAATACTAAGCAAAAATTGTATACTTTGAAAAAGTTTTAAAAAATCTTTTCACCCCAGCCTACACTGACCTTAGACAAAGGTTATGTGCTGCTATGGGAGGGAAAGGAAACTAGCTTGTGCTAACACAAAGTGGTGGGCTGCTGCTAATGGAGGTGAGGCAGGAAGGAAACGTGTCTGTGTTAGTCTGGGTACATTAGAGAACCAAATCCACAGAAACTCATGTATAAGAGTTCTACATAAAGGTTAAATGCGCATCAAGAAAACATCTCAACTCAGTGCTGCCCAAGCCCACAAGTCCAACAGTAACTCCTTAACCCATATATACTATATCCAACACCAATCCACTAAGCCCTCCTCCATCTCACAAGACACAATGATGCCGACTGCAGGAGGAAAGCCAAGTCAGTGAATGTGTAAACATCTCAGTGCTGGCAGGGGTCTCCACACGGCTGCTCCAGCACACAGGGCTGCATCAGCGTAGGTCCATGTGGCTTCTCAGGGATGTCTTGCAGGAATTGAGCCTTGCCAGCTAAAGCAGGGAACTGCCTAAGGCAGCTCCACCCTGGTCCGACCACCAGAATGCAAGAGACCTGAGAACTCGAAAGGCGGGGATCACTGAGCCTTTATCCATCCGCCCTTCAATTAACCTCACCTGTGTTTATCGGCCAGGTTGGTACAATAAACAAACTACCTCAGTGTCCAAGGCTTAACCACACACAGCAGAAATCAGTTGCCACAGGAAAGGTAACAGAACTCACATGTGTTCTAGACCCTTCACTAAGTAGAAGGCAAGAACTTATTTGCTCCTGGAAAAGCAGAAACAGGGAAAAAAAGCACCAAATCAGGCTCAAGTGTCTGTTGTATATAGGACTGCTTGCAATAAATCAGAAGTTAGCTAAAGGTTCAACTGCACCAGGCCTAAACTTGAGATTTGGGAGAAATTGAAAACCTCCTGTCCTTATCACAAGCCTTGCACCAAATAACAAACATCAGCAGTCTATGGGAAGGGCAAAGGCATGGCGGCATCCAGGGCTAGAGAAGAACTAAGACAAGGAAGAAAACCACCTGGTTCTTTAGGCTTCACACTAAGTTGCAAAGATCCATCCCTAGAAAAACTTGAAGACTGTAGTACACTGAAAGGAATTATACCAACGCAAAACCAAACCCAGCTTAACTACAAACTAGATCAAATGAACCAAAGAAGAGTGGCTATGTCTAGGCATAAATATATGTCACTACTTTTCTTTTACACACAATATCTTAAACTTACGAGACAGGAACGGGTAAGAAAGAATGGCTCATTGTCAGATAAAATGGCAAACAAACCAGAACTATTTGATCCCAGCATAGGACTTAAAAGTAGCATTTTAAAGGGATCAGCCAAAAACTATTGTTACTAGAGTTCCAGTTCATACAAGCACAGGTTTTGTGTTAGTCTGGGTACTTTAGAGAAACAAATCCATCTGTAAACCTTCACTAAATTCACAATAGAAAGTTACAAACACATAATCATATCCAAACCTTTAGACTTTAGTTCTTATGTAAGACAAGTATTGCTAGAACCAATACAAATGATAATCATAGTATAAACTGGTGAATGACTGTATTAAAATTGGATATATTGAAATATTGTACCTGAACGGTACAATAAACAATTTTCATCTGTAAATCAAATAAAAACAACAAAAGTTCCTGCCAGCACCCAAAAAAAAAAGTTTTATATAAGCGCAAATCAACATCCCAATCCAGTACTGCCCAAGCCCACAAGTTCAACATTAACCCACTAACCCATATGTCTGACACCAATCCACAAAGTCTCCTCCATCTCACAAAAGACAACCAATGACGCCAACAGCAGGAGGAAAGCCAAATCAGTGAACCTGTAAGCATCTCAGCGCTGGCAGGGGTCTCCACACGGCTGCTCCAGCACTGAGGGCTGCATCGGGGTAGGTCCATGTGGCTTCTCCTTGGGGATGTCTTGCAAGAAGTGAGCCTTGCAAGCTAAAGCAGGGGACTGGCTAAGGCAGCTGCACCCTGTTCCGATCATCAGAGAGCAAGAGACGCAAGAACTAGAAAGGTGAAGCTGACCGAGCTATTTATCTCTCCGCCCCTTCAACCAACCCCACATGTGTTTATCGGCCAGGCTGGCAAAATTAACTATATCAGGTTTATTCCACATAAAGTTTAAAACTAACTCTACCATCAGTGGATGATTGCAAAATAAGTTCTCTCAGTGAGACATTTGTCTTAGTTTCCTTAGGGTTCCTTCAAAAACAAGGTACTTTTGCAAACTATTTTGAGGTTAGGTTAATACCGAACTTTAACAACACTCAAGCTTCCCAAACCAATGGAACACTGCAACGAGTTTATGGGAGTGTTGCCCATAAAACAGAACTAACATTGTAAAGAAGGCTGGGAAGGTCTCAAAGATGAGTCAAAGAGACTGTCAATCTCGACAAATGAAACTGTGGCTCAAGTCTAACAAGTGGTGGAAGATGACCACAGAATTACCACTGATAGTAACTATTGCAGTTGGACTCGCAGAGTTGGAACTTTCCATTTTAAGTGAAGATACTGGCCTCTAACTTTTAGCTTGATGACTGCTCAAAGAGTCGCATGAAGATCAGCTGGCAAAGAGCTGATCATTCCATCAAGTCTTTTAAGCAACGTCAAAGCTAATGACGATTTTATGGAGCAACTCAAACAAAGGCTTAATTTATATGATTCAGAGTAAGGCCTATTCAAAACAACGGTTTCTAAGGCTACTTGCTGGGCCAATTAACCTCAAAACAGAGAGGTCAGCTCAGAAGGTTGTGACTTTCAGATCCTAAAGGATCTTGACAGATGTTCTCAAAGATCTAAAGATGCTTATAGGTGGGTGGAGGGGGAATATGATTAGAAAGAAGTTTTAAGAACATTAAAAACCGCACTGCAAAGTCATGCTGAGGAATTTTTCCAACACAATGTATTTGTTCATTCTTTAACGGTAGCCCATTAGCGTGGGTCGTCTTATGAGAATTTCGTTAGGAAACCTTACTTCACTCTACAGCTTTCTCTTGCCGCTGCAGCAGTTTTATTCCCCAAACTCAATGAATTCTTAAAAGGAGCATGATTTTGAGTCCCACGAGCATGCCAAAATTTCCATTTTGAAGTGGCATAAATATAATAGTGTGGAATCCTTCGGGAAAGGGTTAAATAGATGAAAATACCACTTTCAGAATACATAGACCTAGATGGAGAATATGTTGAGAATAGGTTTACATTTTGATATTTTTGTTCAATAGTGATATGATTTTGTAGCAATACTGGTGGTTATGTGTTGGGCTATATGTAAGGTCAGCAGTTTGAAACTAGCTGCGCCTTGGGAAAAAGATGGGCCTTTCTATTCCCATAAAGTTACAGTCTCAGAAATTCACAGGGGCAGTTCTATCTTGCCCTATACAGTCCCTATAAGTTGGCACCAACTGAATGGATGGCAATGAGTTTGGTTTAGGTTTGGTTAAAGGATATAGTGAAAAACTAAACAGCATGCAGGAGAAAGGGATTTTACTCAGGGATGGAAATCATAACAAAAGTACCAAATCGAAATTAAAATACCCATTGATGAAATTATGTGACATGCGTGGTTTTAATATTGTATCTCAGGAATCTATTGACGAATGCACTCCGAGAAACAGTAAGCAAAAAAAAAAAAGGAATAAACTACAAGAAGGATAAAAGGGCTCTGAGAACTCAGGTAAAGAAAATACCCAGGAAGATTATGAAGATAGATCTTTATGGCATGAACAGCACACTAGGAATAGGGAGTAAAGCAATAATTGAGCATATAAGAGAATTCTTGAGAGATTCTTCATGAACATAAAACTTTTTACCTGAAAAGCACTGTTTAAGGTTTAGACAATAGCAAATAATTGGAGCTGAACTAGTGATTAAAGAAAAACCAAAAAAACTCACTGCCATTGAGTCCAGGCCGACTCAACGACCCTATAGGACAGGGTTTGAAATTGACCCTGCAGTTAGCAGCCCACTCCCAGGGCTCCTGAGCTAGTGATGAGAGAGAGAGAGAGAGAGAGAGAAAGAAATACATTTTCAAATGAAGTAATGCTAGAATAAATTTCAGGAAAGGAGAAATAATTATAGTTTACTACAACTGACCACCCTTGAAAAGCATTTACATAGTCATTTTATAAATACTGAATATTCATTTAATCAAAATTCTAAAATTATAACCATGACGATGGCTGTTACTATATGCAACTCACTCACTACCATGCAGTTGATTCTGACTCATAGTGCAGAAAGTTTCATTTTTCTCCCACAGAGAGGCTGGTGAGATTGAACTACTGACCTGGAGGTTAGCAGCCCAATTGGCAAAACCACAAGGGGAGCATTCACTTCTAATGTTACTACTAGGATGCACAGCTACAACACCTGGGTGAACAGCACCAGATAAAACTGCTAAAAAGTCATTTTCTGAAATAAAATAAGTGGGCGGTAAGTAGAGCGTAAAGACCACTGCTTACCTTAAAACTATAGAACAATGCATGTTTCAACTTTGACAATTAAGTCTTCCAGTGAAAACCCTCATCCACTGATTGCATTATTTGTGGGCTGTTAAAATATTTACTATGGAATTTTGAACATCTATGAGAATCTAACCGCTCTGTAAACCCTATGTAGGTTTTACAATAATAAAAATCGAAATCAACTCAATGGCAGTTAGTTTGGTTTGGGTTTGATGAAAATCTAGAAACTTATTCACAACTACAGTCAAACAAAAGCCTTTACTTATAAAAATGAATTCCTTTAAAGGAATAAAATCTATCTATCTATGGATACAATTTTGAACTAACTTATTTTAGACTGTAATAACTCAAATATGATTTTAAGAAGAGTAACTTCAGTGGTCAGACCAGTCAATAGCAACATACCAAGGTTAAAGGAGAGCTTATCTAATTTTTCTGTAATAAAGTAGGAATAGAAAGTCTCAACTTTGCCCCCCAGAGCGCCTGGTGGTTTGGAACCAGCCAGGGATCCTCCTGTTAAATGAGTAAATCCTGCTCCTAAAATAATTACCAAAGGGAATTTCAAAAGAATGTGATGGCTTTATCTAACACTCGTTAGAAATACCAAAATACTTAATAGTTTGTCCTACCAATTTGATGGTTTTCTACCAGATACACTGTATCTACCAGATACACTGTAAATTTCTATCTAAAAATCCTTCCCGAGCTTTATCATCTACTTACTAAATTATCTCACAAGTGCCGTATGTCACCTTGCTCTACAGAAGTTTCGGAAATGTACACTATTCCCAACTGTAGTGATCTGTGTCACAGAAAGTCTGGGTCCAAGTTCCCCAGGTGTTCAGACCTGATGAGGGCCATCAAACAAGGAAGAGTCGCGAAGACGAGCACTCGAGGCTGGTTTTCCAAGCAAGCAAGCCCCCCACAGCGCCCACCCATCGGGTAAGGAAAGCAGGTGTGCACTGGGGGCCAAGAGGCAAGTACCGTTTGCTGCGGGGCCTCCGCAGGTGCAGTCGGTCCCCAGCGCCGCGGCCAGCTCCACGGCCCTCTGCAGCACGTAGCGCGCCCTCTTGCGCGTGAGCGCGTCCTCTGCCTGGCTCAGTCCCGTCTGCACGACACTCCAGAAGCGTCGGCCCGGCCGGGCGTCCACGCCCCTCTCGGGCCCGTCCG